ATCGGAGGGGGAGACAAACCATAAGAGACTATGGACTCTGAGAAACAAACTGAGGGTTCTAGAGGGGAGGGGTGTGGGGGATGGGTTAGCCCAGTGATGGGTATTAAAGAGGGCATGTATTGCATGGAGCACTGGGTGTTCCACGCAAACAATGAATCATGGAACACTACATCAAAAACTAATGATGTAATGTATGGTGACTAACATAATAAAATAAAATTAATAAAAAATAAAGAATTGGGACACACACAAACAAACACAAAAAAACCCCAGGTTTCTTAGTATTGTACCATGTACTCAGTAGGTATGCTCTAAAACACATTTGAGATGATGAGATATTTTATGGCCTGTTTTTCTTTCTTTCTTTTTTTCTTTTGGAAAAAAAAGACAATTCTCATGTGAAATGCAAAACCATGGATCCAAAAAAAATTGCTCCAACATTTTCTTGGATATCACTGTCAATATTTGGAGACTGATTTCCACTAAAAACATCATTTTAGATGGTGTTATTCTGCTTCAGATCTGAGGCTTTTTAAATCAACTTAATGAAGACTATTTTATTCGAAAACTAATTTTATTCACTTTATAGCTTTATTTTCTTCCATCAGTAAAATTTACAATTTTTGAAATCTAGAGGATAACTATGAAAATAATTGAATATCCCAAAGAATAGTTATTCTGATGAGTGCTCATGGAAATTATATTTTACTTCATCAGGGTTTTTTTGGTGCTAGCTAAAGGTTAGAATAATTTCACCAAAAATTAAAATGCATGGCACACTCATATTTGGTTTCTTATTACCATTTCCACTAAAAGGAACCCGAGCTTCTTGGAGAAATGGCTTGTTCCAGACCTGAGGCGAGGAAAGTGCAAGTTGTGCCTGAGAATCATGTTGTGTTTGAAAGCAAGAAAATTCTCAAGAGCTAAGAGGATTATGTCAAAAGGATAAAAGAGTATGCTAGAAAGGGCTCTTCCTGGCCAAATGTGGGGTAATCTGAGTATCAAAAACAATGACAGAAACCATTTAGAACACATTGATTTGAACTAAATTCACAAAGCAACAATAACTATCCCCCTCACTACCAGAGAGAGAGAGAGAGAGAGAGAGAGAAAGGGGTGTGAGGAAGAAGAAACTTTTCTTAAAGCAGAATGCCCCTATTAAATGGAGGGGGAATGATAGAATTAAAGATCACCATTTTGTAGCCCATGCTAAAATCATTCGTAAAAGATGGTTGGGGTACAGGGTGTTCATGTAGAGATTACTTGTTCTGCACAAAGAGAAAACTTTCACTTTTCAGTGGAAAGTGATAGCAGTTATCCCTTGAACCAAGTGATCCAATTTGAAATTACTAGTAGTGGGACATCTTCACATTATTACATCTCCCTGAGGTGGTACAATCGGAAGTTTACATTGCCATAGAGTGTTCTTGCGATACAGCTGAATCTAGTGAGGCCACTAAATTCCACTTCCACTTACAGGAAATCCACAGTATAGATGAACAAGTGAAACTCTATGATGAAACACACAAATCTAGAACATGGTATATTCAACAAGACAACTTGACTCTTTAAAAAAAAAATCCAAATGAACAAATAAATAATAAATAATAAAAAATCCATTGTCATAGGAAAAAAAAGAAGAGTAGGGGGACTATTCTAGATGTAAAAAGGACAGAGATATAACAACCAAGTAATATAATGTATGAAGTTATTCTGATGTTGAGTAAGAATAAAAATCTATAAAAAATATAGGAAAACTAGGGAAATTTCAATATGGAATGGATATTAAGTGATGTTATGAAGCTATTTTTACTTTCCTTAGGTTTTGGGGGGTTTTTTTTGGTTTGATAATGGTATTTTGGTTATTAGGAGAATATCTTTATTCTTAGGAAATGATGCTGAGGTACAAGAGTTAAGTGGCATGATGCTTGCAATTCATTTACAAATGAATCAGAAAAAAAGCAAATAGATGTATGTGTACTTATATTTACACACACTTATATGCATACATATATGTCTATATGAATATATAAATATTTAGAGAGCATTCATAAATGTGGCAAAATATTAAATTAATCTTGGTAAAGCATACACAGGTATTTATTATACTATTTTTAAATGTTTTCTGAATTATGAAAAATATTCAAAATAAAAAGTTGGGAAAAGCAAAAATGCATGTAAATTAACTTTAAAAACCTACTACTCCATTGATGTTTTGCCCTTTGATGAACTGTTTTAGGAATATTTCATTTGTATCATGTCTTGATAAATTTAATTTAATTTAATTTAATTTTTTTAAAAGATTTTATTTATTTATTTGAGACAGAGAGAATGAGAGAGAGAGAGCACATGAGAGGGGGGAGGGTCAGAGGGAGAAGCAGACTCCCTGCCGAGCAGGGAGCCTGATGCGGGACTCGATCCAGGGACTCCAGGATCATGACCTGAGCCGAAGGCAGTTGCTTAACCAACTGAGCCACCCAGGCGCCCGATAAATTTAATTTTAATAGAAAATAGCAGCCATTACCAGGATCAAGAAAGTGGAACTTGTTGTCAAGTCCTGGCTAGATAACCTTCATGACTTTGGGCAGCTCACTTTTGACCCCTGAGGCTTGGTTTTCTCAATTGCATAGCGAGAATAATGTCCTGCCCTCCCTCAAGATATGATGATGATATTATAAGCAATTACAAGGCATGACTTCAACCCCAAGTAATATATTGGTGGATTCCTTTTTCTTCTCCTGTGAAGTGAAAATAATTTCATGAAAAAGGAGAATTGGACTGGAGGCTTTCATGAATAGCTTACCTTTCAGACCACAAAACCTACATGCAGCCACAAACACTGCTGATTCCATTTCAGTATTTTGCACTCTGGCTTTATATGCTCTCTTCAAGCAATGTAACTTTTCTTCTCTGGAAAAGGACCATAATGCTCCATCTAGTTGACCTGGCCTAAAAGAGAGTGGAGAACTCTTAGCAACTTGATGTCCTACCAGCGTGGCAGCAGCATCACTAAGGGGCTTGCTGGGGACCCAAGTACTCGATGGCTAACTCTAATGCTTGGGTCTGCACTTCTGGTAGGACAAATCCAGCCATCTGAATCATCCTATCAAGGAACCTGGAGCAAGGCTTGTGCCCAGCTCGAGTCTCTTGTAGAAAGGAGTCTCCATGATGTTGAGCGCTCTAGCTCTGGGGCAGAATCCTTGAATGGCCACAGCAGCTAATACTGTACTGGGACAGCAGGACCCACCAGAGGGCTGCTAGGAGATCTGCCCTTTGAGGAAAATCTCAGGTTGCTTCTATGACTGGGGGATGGCTCAGGGACAGGTGCTGGCAGAGAAGAAGCAGCTTCAAGCCTCCTGAAACTATTGAGGATCAGGAGGTGGTTTGGACGGTACAGTTCTCCATCTCTGTGAGGACAGTGCTAGCTGTATACACGCAATTGACTTGTCCCCTTTCTCCCCTGCCACACATGTCTGAGGCTGCATGCCACCCTTTTGTGATCGCTTTTTCCCTGCTAGGCTGTTCTCAGGGTTCATTTATCACTTAATTTCACCTGTGTCAGCTAGTGAAGCCGGAAGGAAGTGGAGAAAATCCTGATGCTATCTTGCCCGTGCCGCTCCCGATGGAGAGGGGCATCGAAGCAGGGAGGCTGACACACTCTGTCACCATCCATTATTTGCACAGTCCCCATTTTGGCTCCCTTTCCACTCTTTTCCTCCCTTTCCTCTTACACACTACTTCCACCCTGGCTGTCTGCTTCTCCTTGTTCCCTCCTCCTCAGTGCTGCCTGCAAACACCTCTAATGCAGTGTTATTTAAGCCAATTCAAACTCTGATGTCCCAGAAGGCGAGTAGGTAACATCCATGAGGTCTGCCTGGTCTGAAGAGAAGGAACAGCCTTGCCTCACCTTTAGCAAACGTAGCCTGGACGTGGGCGGGGTCTTGCCAGGGCTGCCATGCATATATTATTTTATATTTTTTATGTTATGTTATCTCCAGAAGCCAAAAATCTGGACTTTCATGCGAAACCTCCAGAAATGTTCAATGTTGGCAAAATAATTCACATTTTACAAAATACTGTGCAGGCCAAAGAAAACATTGACTCCAACAGGCTGCCATTTGCAAGCTCTGGCTGAAACCTATCAATGACCCTCCCAGTGAAGGGGCTGTGGCCTATGACAGAGTCTCAACCCTATCAGATCCAACATGCCTCCTATTTTATAACATATATGTACTGACACCCCTTTGACTAACCTGAAGTAACATTTGTAGATAACATAACCTGTCTCCATACATAATTTTTTTAAAAATTCAATATAATACCCTAAGTTTGATCCAAGGGAAAAGAAAAGAAACATGATTTAAGATGAGATAATACGCAATTTGATGAACATACACAAACACAAAAACACTACAGGATTTCTAGAAGGCCCTTCAAGGAATGGTGACAATCCTGCTTAGGTCCTTTCTTCCGGAATGAACAGAGTCTGCCCTTGAGGGTGTTTTCTCCTGGCCCCTCCCCCACCCCTTGTAGCAAGAGCTACTACATAGCAAATCACCTGATTTCGGGACCCCTTCATGGCTGAGAGAGAAAAGTACCATTCTGAGACCACCCATACTTTTAGACTCCCTCCCCCAAATATTTTTCCCCGTTTTCTGGTCCCTACTCTTCCCTGGGTACCAGATCCCTTCTGAGGCATGGGTGAATGTACCTTAAAATGGCAGAAACATAGAATCAGCATTTCCCCTTTTCCCAGAGTCACCAGTTTAAACTAAAGGCATAAACAGAGATAAGATTTTGCTAACATCGCTAATTGTATTTTAGTATTTGATTTGTTCTTGGAGGATTAAACCCACTCTCAATATAAATTCATTATGGATGTTTCTCTGCTGCTTATTATGTCCTTACATTCCTATGCTCTAGTAAGTGAAAAAGCCTGTTTCAGTTCCTTTATTTAATCCCCAACTATTTAATTTTCTAAAGCAGAGTTTTTAATGTAAATTATGGCCTTGAATAACAAAGAGTTGCAACAATTTTCTGTTGCTCTCCCAATTTGTAACTTCTTGTCACCTTCATAAAAATCCTAGGTACACATCACATGTCTGATGAGGACTGGGAAGGGGGGATTCCCTTGCTGTAGCTGAGGCTCCTGGGCCAGTTCCTTGTCAAGTTTAGCACTTCAGGTAGTGATATTGTCCAAGATTACCTATTCAAACCAGGGATCAAGGAAGGAGTCTGTGGCTGCATCTGCTATTACAACAGACCCCAGGGCAGTATTGCAATGTGAGATTAAAAGAGTGGTTACAGAAGAATGTCACTTAGAGTTTACTTTTGACATGTAGTATGTAATCCATTCTGCCAACATTAATCAATGCTGGTTGCTAATGATTATCCCTATTTTCATCTTCTAAATTATTTTCTTTTCTAAATGCAATTAAATAATAATATTCAGAACAGGCATTTACATTTGCTGTCTTTCCAGATTCACATTTACAATGTGATCAGGTTTAGATTTCAAGACAAACATGACTCTTGGACATGCAAATTAGTACTGGCCTTCAGGCTCAAATTTGAGTAAATTAGGTCAGGAATAAACTAAATGAGCCTTCCAGCAAGTAGCTTTCATAAAGTGATGTGACTACTTGATATTTAATCTTCTCTGCAACTCCTTGATTACTATAATTTCTTTGCATCTTTGTCCTCTCTTCCTTCTGATTCTTGTCACATTCACCCTCCCCCCACCACCCCACGTAAATTAGGCCTCTTGGCTGACCTTCCATTGCTGCAAAGCCTGTCTTGCTCATGGGACTCAGGAACTCAAGTCTCAGGGACCTGAGAAACCATTTTCTGCCAACTCCTATTGTCCCTGCCTGCCATTTAATGCTGTCTTGTCCTCCCCCACACTCTTTCTTTTTTTCATCAGACTACTTCCAACTCATTCTTCAGGTATGAACATAAGTCACTTCTTTCAAAACTGAATCATGGAGGGGGAAAAAATAAAAAGCAATAATATGGATAGGTTACATTAAATTTCCCCAGCCCAGCTTTTGATCTAGTTTCTGATCCATTCTGATTTCTGTGTACAGCCTGGATAAGGGGACATATATTGATAGTGCCCTAGACTCTCTGTGTCTTAACATTTATTATACTTTGTAATTACTCACTGTTTGTCTATTGCTGGGATAACACATGAGCTCTATAAAGGTAAGAGCAATGTCTGTTTACTCTTTTCCCTGTAAGCCTAGCATTATGCCTATTATAGGTACTCAATAAAAATTTGTGAATGAGTGAATGCTTCCATATAGATGCCATAGAGCAGAGATCTGCAAACTACCATCCATGGGCCAAATTCAGTCTGTCTTTATAAATAAAGTTTTATTGAAACACAGCCACATTCATTCATTTACATATTATCTCTGGTTGCGTATACACTACAATGGCAGAGTTGAGAAGTTGCAACAGAAATCATATGATCTGCAAAGCCTAAAATATTTACTATCTGGCCCTTTACAGAAGAAGTTTATCAACCCCTGACACAGAACACAGCCATATTCTTCTGGATTTTTATGAATTCCAGTATTGATCAACATGGGATTAATTTAGAAGATCCAGGGAGAGACCCATGATGAAAGAGACTTGGTGGGTCAGAAACTTTTAAAATAAGTCAAAAATAAGTCAAAGAAGTGGCTCCTTGAATTATTCACAATGTCCTAAGAACAGGAAACTGATCGAGAAGGAATTTGAAAATGTGGGCATCAAAAGTGGTATTATTCACCTACCATCCTAATATTTAGATATGTTAGAACATTTATATCTTGGTTAAAGTCTCTCAAAGGTCAAAGTACCATTTAATCGGGTATTTTATCCTCATCAAGGTTTGTTGGCTCATCTAAGGAGTGGGAACATCAGCAAAGGAATGAGATTTATCTTCTTCGTCTCTGAATGCAATGCTGCTTAAAACAGAACAAACATTCGCATCCTATCAATAAGCTAAGAGTTCTTCATGAGGACAAAACTTCAGAATGAAGGTATCCACAACAGCACAGTGGTTTCATTCCCCACCATTCATAGACTTTCATTGTGATACTAGCACAGCCTATGGGCTGGATGCATTGTGTTGCCATAAAATGAAAGAACTAGGATCCATGACCATGAGCTGGATGGTCAGCAGAGTGCCTTGCACGTGGCTCATATCAAGTGGCAGCCACAGCAGCAAGGACGGTACATTGCATGGGCATGGGCTATGCAGACAGAACCTTGTAGCCCACAACCCCAAATTATAAACAATCTTAATAACAATATTACCCATTTCATCCCCAAATGCACTGATACCTACTACTGATTATTTGGGGTAACATTGGATGAAAAACAATCCAGAAGGATGCCTGATTTAAAAGTGATTGCTAACATTCTCCTTCTCTTTCTGGTTGGGCATCCACAGATGTTCTTTAACCCACCTGTGAGGGCCGTGGCTGGACTTGACCCTGTACAAGATCAAGTGGTAGAAAGGGCATAATCTTTGTGAATATGACTGTTTCTAGTGAAGCATGGCTCAGCCACCTGTGGCTCCGTGCTACTGGACGAGTCACTTCTCTAATTTCTTGTCCAAGGTTTTCTAAGGTCCACACTTACTCCAAAACTGTGTAATTCTGAGAGCAAAATCACAGCCCTTGCAATCCTGTCACCCTGCCAACCAAACCTTAGTTACAGTGTCCTGTCTGTATTTGCATTTGGTGACATAGTAAAATCGCCTCCTCCCAAGGTCTGCTCCTGGAGAAAAGATTGGAAAAGAAGGAGGTTTCCTCAGAACTTGACGTCAGCCCAGTGTGGAAGCAGAGGCACAGCCCCTGACCAGCCAAAGAAGAAGGGATTTGGAGGGCAGGGGCTGGCCAAACCTTAGGAAGCATCACCTGGCCCTTCCCTAAAAACCCAGCCTGATCTCTTCTGGTGTGTTGATGAGAAAAGACCCAACCAAGTAAAGGGGTGTAGTCACTGACATGAGCTAAAACAAAGTTTTCCTAAGAGCTCTGAAGTCTGCCTCCTTAGCTGACAAATGAGGCAAATCTTAGTGATTAATTTTTCCCTCCAAGCACTTATTTCTGTCACTTATAAAATTCCTCAGCCTCAAAATTTACTCATACTTATACTCAAAACTTATACTTATCCTCATACATATTCGTCAGCAATTCTTCCAGTCTTCCCCTTAAGAATACCTAAGTCCATCTGGGCAATAGGCAGTGTGATCTCTCATGCTATGTTTCCATGGAGGAAAAAAAGAGGAAGATAAAAAGGAAATATTTCTTTAGATTTCTTTAATTTTCTTTAAATTTAAATTTCTTTAAATTTCCTCAAGCCCAGCCTCCTGACACTTTCTAGCCCATCTGGGTATCTGCTGGGCTCCGAGCATGTTGCCGTATTTTGGCAGCTACCCTCTATGGAGCAATCACTTGGATTTAATAATAGAAATCAACCCATCTCACCTATTCTCCCTGATGTACCAATTTTGATAATGGTAACATTACAGCACCAGGCATGGTGCAGTAATTTGATGAGTTCGTGAAGCATAAGCATAATAGAAATAGAGGGAATGCCAATGCCATGCTGTTGAGAGAAAAGAGAAAGTCATTATACATCTTGCAAACTGGTACATGCACAGGACATATTTTCTTCCTTCATTACAAGTTAACAGCCCTCAGATAAATTTACATAGTCATTATGACTTTGCCAAAGCTGAGGAAAACGTAAGTCAGCTCTAACTGACGCCTACCTGACATGCTGATAGATGTGTCCATCTGTGAAGATCAGAGAGAGACATCTCCCTGCCAGTTACACTGAGTTCAGCCCTCATTGTCAAGAGCAGAAGGTGGGGATGGCATGGTATACTGGTGTGTCAGGGCATGGCCGTTTCTCATCGCCCGGCTGGGCTCTTTACAGTGAGCCTTTGAAAAAGAGCTTTTTGCAAGATTGACTTGTTTCTGAGGAAATATAAATTTGGCTGCCATGTAATTAGTCCTCTTCCACCATACTAAATGAAATAATAAATCCATTTCATTGTGCTCATGTGGCCTTGTTCATTTGCTAATTCAGTGTGAGCTCTGAAATGTGTGAGGGTAGAGGTGTGGGCTACATCCACATCTGACCATTCAGAGCATAGGTGAGGTTATGTTGCTATACTTCATGACCATAACCCTTATTTTCCTCAGCATTTGCTACAATAAAATCAATATCACCAGAATAGGGGTCAATATAGTTTAGAGGATTTAGTAATTCCTGGGAGTTACAATATGTTCTAATAATTCTCCAGAAAGATCGTCTGTGCTGGAATTTGTAGGAGCTGGAACTGAGTTTTGAATCGATGGTTATTTCATTCCTAACATAACATTAGGGGGTCAGATGTGTTCTTCAATGTGTTCTCCTCTTGGACAAAGGACTTTGCATGACGAAAAATACCAGGGGTATCTTGGCAATTAGGTGATGCCTGCCACTAATTCTCTCACTAACAAATCTGGAAAACCATTGTTACCATGACCGTGATGTGCTCAGCTGAGTTCTCTCCCTTTCGCCGTCAAGAATATTAAACTATGGAAAGTTTGAAGCTCTGCGTTCCCCATTTTTGGTTCCCATTGAACATGTCCTGACTTCCAAATACATTGTAAGCCTCCTAGAGACATGAATCAAACCTGTATTAATTTGTATGTCCAAGATTAACAAGTCTGGGCTTTGGCACTGGCTCTGTCACTAATGAGTAGACTCTCTAAATCTCATTTTCCTCAACTATAAATTAAGAGAATGAACTATTATTTGATCTATTAGGTTCCTTCTAAATCAGATATTTGATAGGTTTATGATTATCACTTATTATGCAACATGATGATAAAATGACAAATGGGCTTATATATTCCTGCAAAATCTCTCTCCTTCACACACACACACACACACCCTCAGCAGCTGTTGGAGAGAAAGAATTTTTAAAGAAGGGGTCCCAGTTGGAAATCTCTGTCTGCCTAGTGAGGGCTGCTCTTAATTGGCTGACCCCTGGACATGATACATATTTCAGGCCTTTTTCCCGACCGGAGAGCAGGGTCAGTCTAGTGCTGTTTTTATTTCTTACTCTGAAGTCTTACTGCTTGTTTATGATAGTTTCATATTTATATAAACGTTACCTTTTTTGTTCTTACCCATTTACTGTGTAAAAAAGAACAGTTGTAGTCTAAAAGTCAAGTGAAGATTAGTAAAACAAAATTTGCCAAGATCGGAGAATACTCAGCTTCCTTCCAATGTAGACATTCTATAATAGTTGAATGAACAGATGACTAAATAAATGGATTCCCCTATCTGAGCCCCAAAAGCAGGTGTGAGGCCTTCTTGGCCCAGAGGGGAGATAACTTAGCTGCCCAGCTGGTGTTACATAATCTTCCCTTCTTTACCCCAGACTTCCACCCATGTTCATCCATCCTTCCATCACCAGGGACTATCAGGTGATTGACGGATGAGGGCTATTCTCTGGTGCAGGAGCCGCAGGTAGGTCCGCTCCTTAGCAGTGTTACACGTCTGCAGTGGACTCTTCCCTGGCCCTCTGGCATGGCTGGCTGTGCCCTTCAGGAGGGCTGCAGTGTCCAGACACATGACAGATACAGAGCTATTGTTTTGGAATACAGCCCTGTGGCAGAGAGACAGACTTAGAAAGGCCAGCTGGGTGCTCACACATATATACTCTCCTTACGGGGATGCTCCCCTGCGTCCAAGAGGGAAATGGTCTCTGTGTTCCCTAAAATTGCAAATCATTCCGCTTTTATTCTGTCTTAGGACACCATGTGTGTCCAGAGCTGCTAGCATAGTCCGAGTACAGAAAGCAGTTCACAAGAACTCGTGGAGATGCGTTAGCTGCTTCTCAGTGAGCTGAGTATAGTGTTCAACAGCATGCTTTGACAATTCTGAAAATTGGCCCCTGTGTACGAAAAGCTCAACATTCCCAAAGCTGGCTAAGGGGTAGAGGAGAGAAAATTGCTGGTGGCTTAATCAGTCATAAACTAAAGAGAGGAGGTGTGCTTTGAAGGCTTTCTCCCCCTAACTTGAATAGCTAAGTGGTAGCTAATAAGCTAAAGTGACACCGAATGCCATGTTCTGCCCCAGGGCTTTTTCCAACACCGAATGCCACACCTGGGCACTTAATTTAATTGTGTGAAAATGCAAAGCAGGCGAGGAGAAAGAACTCCTGTATTCAGAATCTCCCACCTTTTTCTGCCAGCTTGTGATGAGTACCTGAAGGGCAACCATTGAGTACTTAGACCAATGGAGGACACAGGATCAGTTTTGTGCATGCAATATCTGTCTGTCCCAGCTCAGACATCCTTCATGTCCTCTCTACTGTTCTCCAATCCCAGCTCCCTGTGTATAAACACTGCAAACTCTTTCATTGTGTTGGGGCTCCCACCAATGCAGACAAATTGTTAATAAAAATAAACAATTACCTGCCTTATAACTGGGATAAGAACCAAGGGTCAGCTTTCAACTTTAATGTTTTTATTTTATTTTTTCTGTACTTTACCTAAGAGTATGTATAGATGCTATGGGTTATGTTCATGAGTTAGCTAATTTGCATCATTGATCTGTAAATAAGGCAACCAGACGCAAAGTTTGATGTACTTAATTAGTAAAGAAAAAGATAATCATAAAATCAAAGTAGGTGTTGATTTTGTTCAAGTAGGTATTTCCTGGCATTTCTGTTTACAGTGAACATCAACCAGCTTCTTGGGTTGGTACAGACAGCTCATTTGGGCACATTAGCAGGCCATATGCTTACCATGGACATGGAATATAAGTAATATAAGGAAAAAAGTACTCTGAGTTTTAGATATGTCTTCTCATTCCACATTCCCAAACATTAGTTTTCATTGTAAAATGTGCTACGTTAACTTAAAGCTTTAAAGAAATCACATCAAGACTCTCCAACTTCTCTTTCGGAAGAAATTCTCGTGGAATAAGCCTTATCGCATAGCCTGGAAATCTCACCATGCTATTTCATCAATTCCAATGATTTCTTTTTGTTTTGTTCCCATTTTAACATCTCTGAAATTATCATGGGTGTTGTAGTCAAGGGTGTCGAATCTAATAAAATGTCGTCATAAAACTGTCTATAGTTGCTTGTGTAACAGCCTATCAGGGGCACACCCGCCTCGGGGATGGGTGAGGTGGAGACCAGAGGGAGGATGGCAACAGCCTAACAGCATGGGTAGCCTGGTGAGCACCAGGCGGCGGGAGCGATGTCAGAGACCCAAGGAAGTGCAACCCATAGAAGAGCACCAGGAGCAAAGCCATTTGGAAATCTAAGCTAATCCCTGCTCAGCGAGAAGCCTGCTTCTCCCTCTCCCACTCCCTCTGCTTGTTTTCCCTCTCTTGCTGTGTCTCTCTCTGTCAAATAAATAAATAAAATCTTAGGGAAAAAAAGCTTTAAAAAAAAAAAAAGGAAATCTAAGCTAAGCAGTGAGGAGTACAGAGTCTGAAGAAGGTCCAAGTGAGAGAGATAAGGCAACAAATGTAGTGTTTAAGGGCCTGCCCAAACCTATTGCTTGATTAAGTGACTTGCTTAGTGTTACACACATAATCTTTATGTGCCTCAGATCATTGCCTCCAAGATAGAAAAAATGCAGAACGCTTCGGAGGGTTTGGTAAGGATAAAATGGGATCAAATATGGAGGAAGACATTGCACAAACAGGTGACTTCTGAGTGTTCAACAAATGACAACTACTATTTTTCATATCATGTAGCAATTTTCTGGCCTTGCTTTTGAGCTTGCTTATTGTTTCTGTATTTGCAGAACTTAGTACAAATGAAGCTGGCTCAAATGCAGTAAGGAAAAGGCAGTTGGTGGTGCCTAACTGATGTGGGCAACATTAGGCAGAGGATCAGAAGAATTGATGGCGAGCTTCCTCCCAGCAATGAAGAATATCTGTCCAAGGAAATACCCAACTGAGGTTATGGAGTAGGCGCCCCCATTCACAAATGATTTACTAGGACTATTGGGTGGTCTGATTACATGATGCATTCTGTTTCCATTTAACAATAATTCCTGTTCCACACTCATTTTCAACTATAGGATGTAATTATCCTTTTATCCAGGGTCTCTGCTTCTCTTCAACCTTCATTATTGTCTTTTCTGTGCTCTCTTATGGATTTCTCTGATGGGCCTAAGGTTGGTAATGAACTGCAATGCAAGTTAGCCATAAAGGCTGGGTAGCAAAGAGGGTAAGACTGGGGTCTAAGGTGAGTTCTTAAGTTATTATTGGTAATTCATGACATCTTTCCCTCAGTTGGTATGGATAGTTAGGACTTGGCTCAACATCTAAGTACAAAGAGGTCATTTTTGTTGTTTTCTTTTTACAAAATACAGTAGTTTGAAAATAACCTCATTGTGTGGTGCCAGTGCATGTAAATTACAACTATTCAGATTGACCATAAAACCAAAACAGATGTTAGAATAGCTTGCAGTTTGAATTCTTCTTTGAACTATAGATACTGCTGTAATCAACAAGAATTTCTGAATGTTTCTGGAGACACAAAGATAATATGTATAGACAGAAACATTTTCATTCTTGAGGAC